ATCCACCGCATAATTGACCCCAAATCGCAGGCATAATTTGCCCTATCGCATCGCATAATCCTGGACACCCTAGTCCGTGTACAACACTGGGTCACACCACCATGCACATGACACACGTGATCCAATCAGACGATCACACTAGGGTGTCCAGGATTATGATCCGATTTCTACTATATGAAATCGCATAATCCGCTCACTTTCATGCAGCATGTAAACAAATTGATTGGTTAAAGAATAAACCGGTGACTGTAATCACCTAACTTGTCGTTCTTTTTGAAATTTTATTGGCTAATTCGCATAATTTACAATTTACCGGATGCATAATTTGGCATTTACCGGATCATAATCCTGGGCACCCTAGATCACACCCAGTATCACAGAACCACAGTGTCACCATGACGCCACCATATCGCCATGTATAAATACAACCCGCTTAGAACATAATCAGACACCAACTCTAGCTCAAAAAATTTTTTCTGCCCCACCCGTCCCACCTTGGACAAGAAAAAAAAAAAAGAAGAAAAAAAAAAGCGAAAAAGAAAAAAGGGGAAGAGAGAAAGGACAGGACAGCCACCTGATTCTGCCATTTTAACAGCCGGCCTGCTTCGGCAGGTGGGAAACCACCGGCTGATAATCAAGTTGACATTGCTCAACTATTTTCTACCCGGTCTGTTACAGTAACTCTCAGCGCAATAACCATTGCTACTCTTTCGGGATAATCACTGTTTCAGCTCCTACATATACATATTTTATCGCTATACTCTTGTACTGCTTGCTCACACAATGCTATCTAATAAATTATTTCCGCCCACATGACTGGCTGGCATTCACCCAAACATACAAAGTGCGTGCCAATGTTTTTCGAAACACTAAAATAAAGTTTTAACTATAATATTTACAAAAAAAAAAAAATTATCACAATATAGTACAATGTACTATCAGTAGTATAATATGCCCCTATCCATTAAATTAAAAAAAACTTTATATTAACTAGGAAATGCATACGTAACATTGTGTGTCCGAAGCTAAATAATCGATATCAATAAGCTCGTGATTGACAACCAATCAGAGATGCGGAAACGAACAGACAGAATGCACATGACTTCGATGATCAAATGCAGACGTAAAAAAAATAAATTTGGTTAAATATTTAGAAAAAATGTGCTTGTCACCGGCGGTGACAGTAACCGGATTTGGGTTAGAGTTGGATTTAGAGTTATAAGTAGATTTATTATATAGTAGAATGCTTCAAGAAACATTTTTTATTAGAACACAAACGGTGGTTTCATAGGCATAATTTTGAGTTATTGCGATTTGTAATTTTTTGAATTTTCTTGTCATACCTAATCTTGCAATCTGATTGGCTCGGAACTGTCACCGCCGGTTACAAATAGATTCGCCCAAATATTTAATTCAAAATAATTTTTTTTGTATACGTATACTAAATTTAGTACAATAGCCAAACGGATACCTATTAAAAAACTAAACTTACAAAAAAAATAACAAAATTTCTATTTTGCCAAAAAAGAAAAAAAATTATTACGTAACGGTATAAAACTATGGTTTCTCTATACAGTTAGTCAAAACTTTAGCCAAAAAGCATGATTTATAAGCCAATTATCGCTTAGGGATTTCCCGTGGAACGTTCCAGAATCGATATCCATATTTGGTCAAATCCCTGATTGGTCAATTTCTTACGCACCATATCACATCATTAGGATTTAATAAACTTTAAAATGATTAACTGATAACGAGACGAATCAAATAAATAAATAGTATTCTAAAAAAAAATGAGCTGGTAAAGGTTGAAGTATATTGATTTATAATTTAAGCACTGCAATTAACCTTTTTTCTGGTTTAATGCAGGAAAGGTACAACAAAGGCATTCGGTCGCTTACCGCAAAGAATAGCCGCAAAAACGGGTCTTCGAACAGGCATGCATTAATAGTTTTCTTTAGTAATTAAGGAAAGCGATATAAAAGTTTATTCGCAATAACACGCGCAGAATTGATTAGTTTGTTAAACATAAAAATGCGTAGAATTTAAATAGACTACAAAGAAAAGGTATATCACATTGAGGCTCACAAAATTTATTTAACAGAATCAAAGGATATTCGGTTTGACGATATACAAACTAGATTTAATGAGTTGACCAAGCAAACTGAAAAATTACATAGCGATGCTAGAAAATTTAGAGATGGAATTTCAAGTTAGTTAGATTATGTTCGCTTTTTTTTTTTTTTTGTTTTTATTTTTTATTTTAGCTTATTAAAAACAATTTATAGATATGTTGAATCATCAAGCAAATTTTGCCGATCTCCTTGTCGAATTATATGAACCGATTACTCCTGGAGGAGCATCAGAAGGAGCAGTAACCCGTCGTGCGAAAACCCCGACCCAAACTATGAAAGCTGCTGAAGAGTATGCAAAATTGATGTCTAAAGTGAGAGATACTATACTAGCAGAACTAGTGAGTTTCCAACTCCAATCAATATTATTAAATGTCGCGGCTGATTATGAAATCGGATTATTGTGAAATTTGGGGTCTCAATTTGAAAATATAGGCCCTCCC